GTTTGGCAAGAGAACAATTTTGAAAGGAAGACTCCTCAGGGACGTGGAGGGGGAAGGAATGATGTTGCTTTTAGAGAAGTTGCGGTTGCAAGGATGGAGGGACATGGTCCTTCAGTTGGATGGCAGTCTAGCCAGGAATGAAATTGTGGAGTTTATGGCCAATGGTGAGGTAAAAGATGGAAGGGTTACCAGTATGGTGAAAGGAGTGAAAGTCACCTTTGATGTGAAGAAGCTGAGAGAGATTCTGGGTGTACCTGTTGAAGGGTACAATAACTATAAGAAGCTCAAGTGGCCAAGCTTAGAAAATCTTCCTACTGCCCTTGCCATTACCAGAAAATTCAGTGACAATGAGGAGGAAATTGAGCCCAAGGCTGTCTATAAAAGTGAGATGAAGCCACCCCACAAAGTGTTGTTCGAATTTGTCAACAAGTGTGTTCTGCCAAGGCAGGAAAGGAGGCACATTGCAACATTCATGGACTTGGTCCTCATGAAGTGTTTGGACAGTGAGAGGCAGATTAATTGGTATGGGTTTATAATCCAACTTCTTGATAGGGTTCTAAATGGCACCAAGACTCATGCCATACCTATGACTTCATTGTCACAGCTGTGCTTGTACATCTCAAGGTACCTATGAAGAAGTAGGAGGTTGGTACAAGCAAGGATCATTTTAGGGAAAATACTCTGATTGCTTATGACTATGAAGTCCACACCAGTCCTAAAGAACCTGGTTCATCCAAGAAGGTATCAGTGAATAGCAAGGTGCGAGCCTTGTTACAAGAAAGTGGGGCTAAGGATGTTGAGATTGATAGGCTGAAGAAGTGGTTGGCAGAGGTGGAGACCGAGAGAGATGCTCTTAGAACTGAGCTGTCAAAGAAAAGGAGAAGAATGATGACATTCTTCAAGATATGCTGAAATTACTCCAAGCCAAAAACCAAGCACCTGGTCCTTCCCAGCCTTAAGCCTCCTAGCCTAGTATAGATCAACCAGTGACCCAGTTCGGGATATTTTTTTTTTTTTGCTCATGTTTTCAGTGTTTTTATTTCTTCTTATGCTTTGTGGTAGGATCTTGTCAACCATCAATGAAATTCACTGTCTTTTGCTCTAACTGTTTGTTTATATTTCTTTGATGGTTAATATCCTTAGCATGTTATATGATGATTAACCCATGATTGCATTTGAAGTAGCCTAGTGGCCATGAGTAAGTTTTAAAATCTGGTTATCTTACATATTTATGCAACTTTTCGATGATTCCAAAAGGGGGAAAAAGGTTATTGCTTTACACTTTGAACAGTGATGTTTATAAACCTGATGAACCTAGTCCTTGATGATAAGTGATAAAAAGGAAAAATATTTCTAACATTATGTTGATGTTGAGCTAAGTTGAAACAAGGTCTAAACTTATGAAAAGCACAGAGTTTGCCATCATCAAAAAGGGAGAATTTGTTGGCTCAAGTGAAGTTTTATTTTGAAGATTGACAAAGGACGCCCAGGCATGAACCAGGTCCATCCCCTGTGTACACAGACACAGGCAGATTCGAGCATGAGGAATGCACGTGAAGGAGATAAGCTTAACTTGTTATATCTAATATCTCCTGATTGAAAAGGTTGCATAATTGATAAGGAGAAGGACTCCTTACTCAAAGAGAACACTATCCAAGATAAATGACGAGTTAGAAGTTGAGGATAACTAGAACTCTTCCACCAAGGAAGAGTAGCATTAGAACTCTAGTTATTTCCAATTCTACTAACTCTATATATTGCAGGATGTTCTCATTCTACGGGCACGTACAAAAGCAGAAGTTAAATGTGAGTTGAGAGCAAAATAACAAGGTAATTTGCAAACAATTCTTGTGTGATTCAAGTGTGCGAACCTGAAGCTACATGAACCAGATAGAAGAACCAGTTCCAAGTGTCTGTCTTTTATTCTAGTTCAATTGTAGTAGGTGATTTTTAATTTGTACCTTTCAGCTTTATCTAGAGGCAATTATAATAAGTTCCTCTGAGTATGCAAGTTAGAGTTAACTTGAAGTTGTTGCAACAGTCAGAGGCTGGTTGCCACAACGGGATTAGAGTTAATCCTTAGGTTTACAAAGAGTTTTGTAAATGCTGTTTTGGCTCATTGATTTAGTAAAGTGTTGGGAAAAATCCTACTGAGTAGTAGGTCGAGGTTTTTGCACTTGTGTATGAGATATATGCATGATACATGTGTCGTAGAAGATTTTTTTTTAAACTCGATTTTAACTATGAATTTTGATACCAAATCATCTCCAATCTTCCTCAAATTTGTTATATTGACTCATATATATATTTCAATGAATTTCAACCATACCCATTGAAAAAGGTCTATTTTTGCTTAGATTTTTGATATATATATATATATATATATATATAGTATTATATCATCTTTTTTGCTACCTCATCCATGAAATTTCCTTTCGTCTTCCATCTAATATTGTTGATTATGATTAAAAATATGGAAGGAGATTTTTGCGTGTGATTCTTGGAGAGAAAGAATCCTTATTTATTTGAGTTTTCAATTTTTGTATGTGCTTGGCTAGTTTTGGTAAGTCTATAATTAATGGCTAGATGTTAGTAAGTTATGACTTATTTGAGATTTTTCCTTAATATTCCCCATAAAAGAATACATATCAACGTGAATTGCAAGTTTTTATATAATGGTTGTAAGACAAATTAGGTTATGAGAGTGAATTTTGAGTCTTTAATGTTCAACAAACCCCACAAAGCGAATGAGGCAGACATGCGGATGAAATATGATGTGCGGTAATGCAATTATTAGCAACGACCACGTTCAGAAAAAGGTGCAAGAATCACACAAAAAGAATAAAATGAAAAAAAAAATGGATTGAGATGGTTTGGTCATGTCCTATATCAACCTACAAATGCACTAGTACGAAGGTGCGAAACCTTGGCGGGCAAAGTTGTTTAGAAAGAATAAGATAGACTTAAAATCACACACTAAAAAGTTGTGTAGAAAGACATAATTTCTTAAAATTCATACAGACTTGGCAAAAAAATTGGACGCAACCGAAAAAAAAAAAATCTTCATATACAATACCATCTAGTTTATGTTTACTTTAGATCCTATGTTTTTTAGAGTCTTTTAGTTTAACCAAAAACATTTATGCCAGTAGAAATTATAGAAAACTTATATTGTTACTTTTATTTATTTATTTATTTATTTTACATAATATTAGATTCAGGGGCGGAGGCACAATGTCGGATACGGATTCGATCGAATCCAGTAATTTTTATTCATGCTTTGTATTTATCTTAAAATATTTATTGTATATGTATAGATACACAATTTATAACCCAGTAGCTTAAAAGAATTAAACGTCGAACACATAAATTTCAAATTCTGGCTCCGTCTCTGATTAGATTAAGTCAACATATAGGAAGTGAGAATTTATATTGTTGCCAACTCCGAAGGCAATGGGCATTGTTTTTCTTTAAGTTTTAGTTAAACAACATTTGTATTGTCAAGATCTTGGCCAGCCAGGAAAGAGATAGGATCTTTACACAAATAACATACCGGATTCACTGTTTATTTTTTCTAGCCGATATATATAAATTATATATTGATTATATACGGTTATACACATACTATATATAAATTATACATATATTTTATATCCATCGATTTGAGTAGATAACGATTATTTAGGTTAATTCTTCCGTGGCATATGAATATATCCCGAAGATGCATCGAGATGAATGCACTGGTTTAGTGTTTAGACAGCAAGGCAAGTTTTGGCATGTATCATTAATCAAACAACTATTAAAAGTAAGAGAACTGATTAATAGCCTGACTGGCCAAGTTTTTCAAGAGGTCAAAAGTATTTTTTTTTTTCAAAAATATTTTTTTTTCTAACTTGAGGTGTTTGGCCAAATTTTTTTGGGGAAAAAAGTATTTTTGGGAAGAAGCAGAAAAAATAGCTTCTTCCCAAAAGCAGAAGCAGTTTTAACTTTTTCTTCTTACCAAAAATACTCTTAACAAAATATAGTATATACCAAAATAACCGTTAAACCTAATATTTAGGATATTAATGTATAAATATTTCTTATTATTTTTAGGATAGCTTTCTAATATATAGTGTTTTAGGGATGAATGCTTTTATATTTGTTGAATAATTTTTAATATATTTAACTTATATTAAAAGAATTAAGTACTTTTAAATTTTATTTTCATATTTTACTTAAATAAAATAAAAAGATTTAATTATTGCATGTAATAATATTTTTTTAAGATTATTTATTTATTTATATATTAAGTATTAAGTAAATCTATTCATGTCCTTGTTCGTAATTTGATACTTAAAAACACTTTCTGAAAAGCTTGGTCAAACACAAATTATTGCTCAAAAGTATTTTTTAGAGTGATTAGCCAAACACAAATTGATTCTCTCCAAAAGTATTTTTTTCAAAAGCAATTCTTAAAATAAGCTGATTTTTATAGCTCGCCAAATAGGCTATAAAACCAATATCCCACTACACACCTCCCAATTTCGCTGGCCCAAACAAGATCGACCCAAATCCTTAGAATAAGGGAACAAATTAAACATGTCTACCTCAAATCAGAACCAAATATTCCTTTTAGCAGACAAGATCTGGAATTTAATAAAAGATCGTATCTGTATTCATATAAAATCTGAATCCCAATATTTAATTCCAACCATCCTGGATATATTAATGAATAAATGTATTATTGATATATATAATGTTGGAATATAGTATATTACTTGTTGTCGTTTCGTAATGTCATGCAACAACAAATATAATCAATAAAAAAATTAAGGCACGGGATAAAATTATTATAAAAAGATAAATAAAGGATAAAATAAGATTATTTAATAATAAAGAAGGGAAAGATGAGAGACAAAAATAAAATAACGACGTGGGCACACCAAATCGGTGACAATTTTCGTTGTTACGTAACGACGAATTTAACGATACTTTACGTTAAAATTTAAGTAACAATGGAAAACAGTAACATATTTAAAGTAACAATACGATTCACTGTTCCAATTAGTTAGGTAACTACTCATTTAAAAACATTAGTAAACCTTGTGTGAATAAAAAAGCAGAAAAAACTCATAAGCAAGGGACCTGTAGACATAAGTCAATATAGTGTTACAAATCTTGGCTGCTGCTCATTTTGAGTCGTCTTGTTGGTGAAACTAGTGATGTTGGCATGGATGAACCAGTGGAATGTGTGGATGAATCAGTAGAAAGAGACGATGAAAGAGTTGATGAGAGGTCAATTGAAGTAGGCGAATCATCACAAGATGTTTCTGCCAACTTTCTTTTGTTCATTGTTTTGGCTTCTCTTCTAAACTGATCTCCGCTGAACACTATGTAATTCTTTAATCGTTTTACATCTGACAGTTTCACCGGCTTCAATAGAAAATCATCAGCACCTTCTTCCAAACATCTGTTTTAACATTAAAATTAGTTTAGATCAAGAAAACGTCCAATCAATGTTGAGGCCAGTAGAGATATAAAATTATTCTCAATGAATAAATCTCTCTGACACAACAAATAGAATTACTTCTAATACATTATCATTTCTGAGCAGTTAGGTCTAAGCTTTATCTTATCAAAGTTATTTTTCTTCTTTTACCAAGTTTATAAACAACAAGCTAATGAAAGTACCTGTCAATTCGTGTCAAAACATTTTCAGATGACATAATCACAACAGGTATTTCCCTAAGCGATGAGCCCTGTTCAAACAAACAAATTAGCAAAACTCTTACAAACATCAAAGACAAAATTTAAGTAGTAGTTTGAATAAGAACCTTAATCTTTTTGAGCAACTCGTAGCCAGTCATTCCAGGCATACAATAATCAGTAATTATCAGATCCACCTTCAAACCCTGATATATCAACCATATAAAAAAACAGTCAATAACAACAAACAAAAAATCAAAATCTTCAATTTTTCTTTTCTAAATTTTGCATAAAAATAATAACTTCTATATAGTATATGACTACAGTTGCTTACATTCAACCCAACAGAGGTCTCCTCTTCATCCAATCCAAGAAATTGCAAAGCTCTCCTCCCATTGTCCACAGTGGTTACTGCACAATTGAAACACACTCTTTTACTCATATTGATAAAAACGCAAGAACTGAATTGAGGGTAAAGGGGTTTGGATTTTCATTCAACCTCTGCAAGTTGTGATTTTGAGCAGCCGTTCAATAACTTTCCGGTCGACGAGATTATCATCGACAGCAAGAACATGAACTTCATCAGAATCCAAAGACGGGCATAAATTATCAAACTCCTCCATCTTCTCCGCCCTCCACCGCCGCGAAAATACTCCGTTCCTCGCCATGACACAAATATACTTCGGAAGAAGTGAAAAACAGAATTTTTAAGTGTATAGTCACAACTTGAAACCCAGAAATTTTCTAGGGAGAAGAAGTGAGAAAACAGTGCTGTTTGTTCATATTATACAGAAGGGGTGTTGTAATGTTTAAATGTTACTAGTAAAATGTTGTCTTCATATACGAATTACGATATCTTTTACTCTCTCTATATATATACTACTGTATATGAAAAAGAACGGAGTGTTCAAAATCAAATCTGGTGAAATCTACTTTTTAATGTTAATTAAGAGGGGAATAACGCTGAGATTCTGAAATCCACTTTTTATGTTCAAAATGATCTTGCCGTATCCTCGTGAGTTATTGACAACCTCATTTCGCGAGACGAGCATGGAGATTTTGTGGCTTCTATTTGAATCTGAAGAGGGAAATATATACTTCCTCTTTTTTAATTTATACATAAAACTAGTTAAATTGTTAGCAAAGAAAATCAAAATCTACTTTTTAATGTTAATTAAGGAGGGCAATAACGCTGAGATTCTGAAATCCATTTTTTTTTGGGTCAAAATGATCTTGCCTTATCCTCGTGAATTATTGACAACCTCATTTCGCGAGATGAGCATGGAGATTTTGTGGCTTCTATTTGAATCTGAAGAGGGAAATATATAACTAGTTAAATTGTTAGCAAAGAAAATCAAAATATGCATGAATAATTATTGTTAGAATCTTTATAATAATAAAAATCAATCTTTACTATATCAAAAAAGTAGCGTAAAAGAGGAAAACATAATTTGTAAACTCATGGTCTTAAGATAGCCAAGCAGCAAAAATTTCAAAGTCGTCTTAAGATTGATTAACATATAATTCGTATATCTTTGATATTCTCGTACCTTTTATTTAAAATAAATAATATCAATAGCATTATATTCAATGGATTATCCGGGAAATAGTACTCTTTGATTAGTTTAATGATTTTTTCCAAGTTCTCCAAGCGTGACATTGTCAATTGTTTTTTTTTTTTTTTCGTTTAAAAATATGGTATATAATTGCTTGTTACATGAAAAGCTACATATAAGTATGTCTCTACTGTTGAATTTTGACAAGATTAATGTGAACTAGTGTGAATATTTGAAGCCTCCTTTTAGGAAGAAATTGGTAGATACATTTTTCATACATTTACATTGCATGTTCACACTTAATATGATGTCATGCATGACATTATTAAGGCCATTTCTCTTCTATAAATAGCAAGGGTTTTGTTCATTTGTAAATATCTCTCACTTGCCTTCTTATCTCCTAAGACATTTGAATCTTCTTTCTCTCTTGTAGTATTTCACTTGTATTTTTGGAGTAAAATAAATTTGAGTTGATTGTGTCCGAGGACTAGGCAAAAATCAAATTTTGCCGAACCTCGTTAATTTCTGGTGTTCATTTTATTATTGTCTCATTTACTATTTATTAGCTACCTTTAGATATAGTAGTTGTGATTTAATCACTCTCTATATATTCGGCTTACGCAACAATTGGTATCAGAGCCAAGGTTCTATCTTAGTATACTCTGTGGTTGCAGCATAGTCTGAACTTCCACATCAGAAAAGAATTACTTTGGTGTTATGTACTGTCGTCAAATAAATAGTATCTATAGCAAAATGGAAGATAATAAAAATGAAGAGTCCACATCGGGTGTCAGTAATACGTCGTTGGCGTCTTCGCTTATGACAAGAATTATGTCAAATGCGAAATTTGCAGTTGAAATTTTTGACGGGTCAGGACATTTCGGGATGTGGTAAGCTGAGGTTCTTGATGTCCTTTTTCAACAAGGGCTAGATATTGCCATAGAAAAAAATAAACCAGACAATATCGGAGAAGGAGATTGGAAGATTATCAACCGCGTTGCTTGTGGTACCATTCGATCTTACCTCGCGAGAGAACAGAAGTATCCATACACAAAAGAAACTTCTGCAAGTAAATTGTGGAATGCGTTGGAGGATAAATTCTTGAAGAAAAACAGTCAAAATAAACTTTACATGAAAAAAAGGTTGTTACGCTTCACATATGTTCCTGGTACTACAATGAATGATCATATCACCAGCTTTAATAAGTTGGCGACAGATTTACAGAATATGGACGTGACTTTTAGTGATGGAGATATGGCCTTAATGTTATTAAGTTCACTTACCGATGAGTACGAGCACCTCGAAACTACTCTACTTCATGGGAATGATGAAGTGTCTCTCAAAGAAGTTTGTTCTGCCTTGTACAGCTATGAACAAAGAAAGAGAGAAAAACAAAAGAGTGGAGAAGGAGAAGCACTGGTCGTGAGAGGTCGTTCTCAAAATCATATAAGAACGAAGAAAGGAAGATCTAAGTCAAGATCCAGACCCAGCAAAGATGAATGTGCCTTTTGCCAAGAAAAGGGGCATTGGAAGAAAGATTGTCCAAAGTTAAAAAACAAGGCCAAACCTAACAATGGAAAGGCTGTCATGGATTCAAATGTAGCTGATTGTGACGACTCTGATTTTTCGCTAGTTACAACTGAGCCATTCAAACCATCTGACATATGGCTGATGGATTTAGCTTGTAGCTATCATATGTGTCCCAACAAGGACTGGTTCGTTGATTTTCAAGAAGGAGAATGTGGAGTTATTCACACAGCAAATAACAATCCTCTTACCGCATATGGAATTGGTTCAATCCGATTAAGGAACCATGATGGATTGATCAGAACATTAACAGATGTTCGATATGTACCGGAATTGAAGAAAAATCTCATTTCTGTAGGAGCCCTAGAGTCAAAGGNTTGATGTCCTTTTTCAACAAGGGCTAGATATTGCCATAGAAGAAAATAAACCAGACAATATCGGAGAAGGAGATTGGAAGATTATCAACCGCGTTGTTTGTGGTACCATTCGATCTTACCTCGCAAGAGAATAGAAGTATCCATACGCAAAAGAAACTTCTACAAGTAAATTGTGGAATGCGTTGGAGGATAAATTCTTGAAGAAAAACAGTCAAAATAAACTTTACATGAAAAAAAGNGCGGTAGTACAGTTATTGGGACAGCAACAGTGACATCCAGTGATGACAAGGAGGCAGAAGCAACCAAGCTATGGCACATGCGCTTGGGACATGCTGGAGGAAAATCCTTAAAGATTTTATCAGATCAAGGATTGTTAAAAGGAGTAAAGACTTGCAATTTGGAGTTTTGTGAGCATTATGTCAAGGGAAAACAAACAAGGGTTAAATTTGGAACAGCAATCCATAATACTAAAAGTATTTTGGATTATGTTCACTCTGATATTTGGGGTGCTTTCAAAACACCCTCATTAGGTGGGAAACACTATTTTATAACCTTTATTGATGACTTTTCCCGGAGAGTGTGGGTGTATACTATGAAAACCAAAGATGAGGTGCTGGGAATTTTTCTCAAATGGAAGGCGATGATAGAGACTCAAACAGGCAGAAAGATAAAGTGTCTTCGCACAGATAACAGTGGAGAATACAAAAATGATCTTTACAATAAGATTTGTGAAGATGATGGCATTTTGAGACATTTCACCGTCAGAAATACACCACAACAGAATGGAGTGGCAGAATGCATGAACGGACTTTGCTGGAGAAGGTTCGGTGTATGTTGTCCAATGCTGGCTTGGGCAAAGAATTTTGGGCTGAGGCAATAACATATGCATGCCACCTCATTAATCGTCTACCATATGCCGCTATTGGAGGCAAGACACCATTTGAAAAATGGTATGGAAAACCTGCTGAAGATTATAATTTTTTACATGTGTTTGGCTCAATTGCATATTATCATGTGAAAGAGTCAAAATTTGATCCGAGGGCAAAGAAAGCTATATTTATGGATATTACTTCTGGAGTCAAAGGATACCGATTATGGTGTCCAGAGACAAGAAAAGTTATATTCATCAGAGATGTTACCTTTGATGAATCTGCCATAATAGATAAGGTGACATTTGAAGATGTCAAACAAACTGATGGTGCTTCAAAGCAGGTGGAGTTTGAGGGAAAATTAATTTTTCCAACATAGGGAGAAAACGAGGAAACAATAGAAGATTTTCCCCTAGAAGAAGAGTCAGTGGAAGGGGAGATTCCAACTCAGGAACCCCAACAACAACTTGAATCAATA